GGTACAGGTCTGTGATTCATCGGCCCTACACAATTCCCAGTACTCACCATATTACCTACCCTCCCCAATGCATAAAATGAATTTTTGTCTCAAGTGCTTAGATAATTTAACGTGGACATTCTTAAATTTTACTATACATAAGAATCACCTAGGGATTTTGTTAAGACCGCAAACTCCAGACTCTGCATTTTAAAACAAACAGCTTCCCTTCCCAGCTAAGTAAGCCCTCGCTCCCCTGCTGTCTACTCTCCACAAAGCAGCCAAAGTGAGCCTGTTACAAGCTAAGTCAGGTCTTGTCATTCCTCTGCTAAAAAATCCTAATTGCTTCCCATCTCTCTTGTTAGATACAGAAGTCTTAACTGGGACCTACCAGGGCTTCTGTGGTCTGCCCTCTCCGCCCCCCATTTCTCTCATCTCCTGTGCCCAGACACATTGGCCTCTTTGCTGTTCCTTGAAACTCCTCTGCCTCAGGGCCTTTGCATGTGCTGTCACCATGGTCCAGAAGGCTTTTCCCTCAGATACCCATATGACTTTCACTTTCTTTAAATCTTTACTAAAAGTCACCTTCCTAGGGAGTTCTTCCCTGGTCACCATATCTGGTGACTTAACTCCCCTTCAACATTTCATACCCCCTTCCTGTTTTATTTTTCTCCTAAGCATGTGGCACTAATATACTATATAATTTAGTTACCTATTGTCTAACTTTTCTCCACTCCAACTGGAAAGTAAGTTCCAGGAAAATAATAATTTTCACTTGTTTCCTCACTACTGTATCCCTCCTGCCTAGAGCACTAGCAATGTTTGTTGAATGAATTGAATGAGTAGTGCTACACCTTTATAGTAGGTGATCACAGGAGCATCTTTATTGTCCCCTCCAGAAGTATCAGACAATCATTGAATGTCTCCTCTATGCCATGTGTTGTGCTAAATAGAAGTTGGTTGTTTTTCCTGGTTGATCTCAGGGACTGCCCCCAAATGTTATTTCATGTTGGCTCTGAGAACCTAGCAACAGAGTTAGCTGGCTTGTTGATTCAAGTCTTGTAGTCTCATTGCTGTTTAGCTAAGGAGATCCACTGATGCACTTCTGAGGTAGTTAGAGGAAGCTGCTTTCTTGCATCGAAATGTCTCCTCTCAAAAACATTGTTTATCAGGCCAGCAAATTAACTCCAGGCACCTTTTCCTGAGTGCTTGCTATTGACAAGGCAGGATTTTATATGATCACTGCCTTCCTGCTGCTTTCCAATGAGGTGATTTTGGTCCTTTGGTTTGATTTTAACCAAATCAGACATGGTGAAGAGCCCAAAACAAAATAGGTAATCGAAATGTCACTGAAATAGGAAGAGAAAAACGGTTTATATTTGAAAGTGACCCTTTAGAGTGAAAACATTGTGGTGCTGTTGTGAGGTGTGCATGCTCTGTTCCAGTGATTCTCCCACCTAGGAATAGGTTCCAGTGTTCTAGCTATTAAAAACAAAAAGTCTTTATTCCACTTAAGGGATGCCTTCAAGGTCAAGGATAGTAAAATGTTTGCAGAAGAACCAAGTAGGTAAACATTACATCAGAGGAAACCGGTTTCATCTTCTTTCAAAATGATCTGTTCTTGGGGCACCTGGGTGGCTCAGTCGTTAAGTGTCTGCCTTCAGCTCAGGTCATGATCCCAGGGTCCTGGGATCGAGCCCCGCATCGGGCTCTCTGCTAGGAGGGAAGCCTGTTTTTCCCTCTCCCACTCCCCCTGCTTGTGTTCCTGCTCTCGCTCTCTCTCTCTCTGTCAAATAAATAAATAAAATCTTAAAAAGAAAAAAAGATCTGTTCTTAAGAGTCGACCTCCCATTATTTTGCATTAATTTTTATAATTGAGACTGTTTTCATTACAGGCAATTCAAATGGCCTAAAGGGAAAAATGTCTTTGTGCACATTCTAAAACTGACCTAGGGCACTGAACTTTTCTGTTTCTATAAAAGACAACCGTCTAAGTCTAATCTTAGGCAGTTGTGCCAAGGTTTTTCCCTTGTGTATCTTTATTCTATTGGTCTTTTTTTTTTTTAAGATTTATTTATTCATTTGAGAGAAAGAGCGAGAGCATGAGTGGGGGTGGGGGTAGAGGGAGAGGCCTGAGGGAGAAGCAGACACCCCGCTGAGCTGGGAGCCCAATTCAGGGCTGGATCCCAGGACCCTGGGATCATGACCTGAGCCGAAGGCAGACGCTTAACCGACTGAGCCACCCAGGCATCCCCTCCTTTTTAATGTATACAGTTTAAGCCTTTATACGTTTTGAATTGATCCTGAAAACAGCAGGCCGCTGGGAGCGACTGCAGAGGTTCACTGGGCTACCTCCAGGGCTCGCTTTGTGCACAGGAGCTGTGGCTAGGAAATTGATTGCCTTTAAATTGTATCCCATCATCTTTTTGTTCCCTTTTTTGTGTGTTTTGAGCTATGTGTGTTTCAAATGCCAGTGTTTAAAAGAACCCCATTGCTTGTCGGCTGTAGAGTTCTGAGAAGATGACTGTGTGAAGGGCATCTTTCTGAGCAGACACTCCTGAGGGGGAGGTCTCATTTCATAAGCTGTAGAAGAATTAATGGCTAAGAGAGAAGCAGTTAGCAGGCTGAATGTCCCAGCTCCCTGCTTCTCAAACTCTTCTGCTGGAAAATCCTTAAAGGGGAATGAGAAAGGAACCTGTACCTCCAGAATTCCAGGGGCTAGACTGGAAAGACTTGCCTGAGGCCTATGAACTTTAAATTATTTGAAGTTTCATTTTATTTTTATTTTTTTCCCATCTTATTTTTAAAATTTACATCATTGTTCAATTTGGCTGAATGTAATGGCTTGTTTTACTCTAATAATAACATCTTCTCCTTCTCATATCTGAAGAAAATTGGTGCTCTGGGAAGATCAAACACATCCACCCTGTGGTTTTGAGCATCCACTGACACTCGGGGTTGCGGAGGGAGGGATGGAGGCCTGAGGAGAGGGGCTGTTGGAAGCAGAGTTCTGGATGGAAATTAAAAGGGCGGATATTAGTAGAGCTGCTTGGTACAAATAAAATAATACAGTTGCATAGAGATAATAGACAACTCCAAGCCCCTGTATCTCGTGGTCTCTTTTGTAAAGGCAGGTGATATAAATGAAAAAGGGTAAGCAAATCCTCAGTAAGGTGCAGCTGTCTAGGAGAAAAACATAAATTACATATGGAATACTGAGAAAGCACATTTGAAGATCACATAATTGTTTCTTCTACCCATTAAGCAAAACATGACTCGGACTGGCTCAGAATGGTCTGCTCTATTTCTTCTTCTTAGAAGAGTCACCTAGAAAGAAAAACGTTTCTTTCAATTCGCTTTTATTGATGGAAAATTAGAAAATACAGAGAAACAAACAAACAGTGTCTTCCTTGATTCCACCATACAGAGATGAGGGTTATTAACACTATGTTGAATTCTTCCATGGATTTTTGATATGCAGCTCTCCATACATGACCATAACAAAGTGGGGGGATGAGTCTTGTGCTATTTTTTTTCACTGAACAATATTGACATCTTTGTTTGCCAATGAATAAATGCCTTTGCCAAAGAATAGTTCCACTTTAATATCCTGACATAGTGCTATGATTTTTTATTCTTTTATTTCGATATAACTTCACACTTCCAGAAAAATTGCAAGAATAGTATAGAGAAGGTTGTAGACCCCTCCTCAGATTTACTTCATTGTTAATATTTTGCCTCATTTTCTTTATCATCAACTCTCTCTCAATGTATATTTTCTGAACCATTTGAAAATAATTTGCAGATATCATGCCTTTTTTTTTTTAAAGATTTATTTATTTATTTGACAGAGAGAGACACAGCGAGAGAGGGAACACAAGCAGGGGGAGTGGGAGAGGGAGAAGCAGGCCCTCTGCTGAGCAGGGAGCCCGATGCGGGGCTCGATCCCAGGACCCTGGGATCATGACCTGAGCCGAAGGCAGACGCTTAACGACTGAGCCACCCAGGTGCCCCGGATATCATGCCTTTTAACCATAAATATTTCAGTAAGTGTTTCCTAAGAACTTACTTTTTTTTCTTACATAGTTATAGTATGTTTATCAAAGTCAGGACATGTAACACTGATAAAGTAGTATTATCTCATCTGCAGTTCATATTGAAATTTTGCCAATATCCTTAATAGCGATGTTTTTCTCATCTAGGATCTAGTCTTATAATTCGTTGTCATATTTCTTTAAGCCTCCTTTAATCCCCAGCGTTTCTTTGTCTTTCATGATCTTGATATTTTTGAAAAGCAGAGGCCAGTTATCCTGTAAAGGGTCTTTCAATTTGTCTGGTATTTTCTCATGATTGGAGAGAGATAATACCTTTCGACAGGAATACCACAGAAATCATATTCTCAGGGCATCCTATCAGGAAGCACATAATATTGGTTTGTCCCATTAGGGGTGATGTGAACTTTGATTCGTTGGTTAAGGTTGTATTTGCTGGATTAAGACATTGTAAAGTCACTATTTCCCCTATTAATTCCTAAGTAATTTGTAGGGAGGTACTTTGAGATTGAAAATATTCTGTTCCTCCTCAAACTTTCATCTACTCATTGATGGCTCTTGACTGAATTTTTTCATTCAAAATAATTTTAAAACTATTATTACAATAGTTATAAAATGATGACTTTCCAAGCCCCACATTGTTTGTTATTCTAAGGAATAACAAACATAAGGAAGAGCTTTTCCTTCTCCCCTCTTTATTGACCTATTCCTTTATTTTTTCAGATCAGTAGGGACTCAGATGCTTTGTTTTAAAATATTCTATGACTGTCATTATTTATTCTGATGCTTACATTGTCTCAGCTTTGTCCTGTGGGAGCCCCTTTCAATTGGGTCCTTTGTCCTTCTGAACTGTGTCCGTAATTTTTTGAGCACTTTTTTGCTTTCTGTCACAAAATGTTCCAGGTAGCCTGTACATCCCCTGTTCCAGCCCTGGAATCTGATATTTCTCTAAAAAGCCTGGTTCATTTTAGTTGGGAATAGTATTTAGAAACCAAAATCTGAGTATACCATATTTTATTATTGACTTTGAGCGAGCTTCCATTTTCTTTTTCATTACACACATACATTGCACAAACTATCTAACTATTTTCTTAGCATAAATCCCTGAGAGTGGACTTGTTGACCAAAGGATGGGCACGTATTAAAGGCTGTGGATACAAGTTGCTAACCGCCCTCCAGAAAAGGACTAGTATTATTATTTCAAAAGATACACATTTTACTAATTTCGTTGAAAAAAGTTAATAGTGTTTTTATCTTAAATTAAGAGTGGGAGTGGGCATTTTAATGTTTGCCATTATTTCTTCTTTTTAAAAATATTTATTTAAGTCATCTCTCCACCTAACATGGGGCTTGAACTCAAGACCCTGAGATCAAGAGTTGCACACTTTTCCAATGGAGACAGCCAGGTACCCCTATCATTATTTCTTCCTTGGCATACTGTTGTTCATATCTTATACACGTTTTTCTATGGGGATGTACATTTTTCGCTGCTTTAAAAGAACTTTACACACAAGAACTAAACTCTTTTCCACATATATTGCAAATGTTTTCACAGTTGTTTCCCTTGTAATTTAGTATGTGACAATTTTTCATTTAGAGAAGTTTCTCCTTTTGTATTTTCTCCCTTTAGTTTCATACTTAGAAATTTCTCACCTCTTTAAAATCTAATCCATGTTGTAGTCCTGGGACAGAAAAAGAGGCTGCTGACTTTATCCCTACTTTGTTGGTTAAGAAATTAGCTTCTATTTATCAAAGCAAAACTAGGAAAAGGTGAGGTTGCTCAGACTGGTTATGATTTCAAGCCCCAAGTTGGGTGCAGAGATTACTTAAAAAATAATAAAATTTTAAAAAATCTTAAAAAAAAGAAAGTTCTCAGCTCACTATAAGTTATAAAGATATGCACCTATATTTTTTTCTAATACATTTATTCATTGTTTTTATGTTAAAATTTTTAATAATGCTGGAATTTTAGTTTTGGTGTAAAGTATGAGGTAGGGATCTGCCTTTTTATTTTGCAAATGAGCCCATTGTCCAAATATCTATTGGATAATCCATCTTTCTCTTGCCAATTTAAAATGTCATAAACTGAACTCTTATATACACTGTGATCCGTTTTTAGACCTTCTGCTCTATTAAATTTATCACTCTGTTTATTCTTAAGCTAATAATATACTTTAAAAATACTTTAAAAATTATTGTAGTGATATAATTTTAATATCTGACCAGGCAAGACTTTCTCCTCCCTCCCATTACGCTTCCTTATCAAAGTTTCTTGGCTACTCTTGTAGTGTTCAGATTTCCAAATAAACTTCTGAGTCATGTTGTCAAATTTTTAAAAATTAAGTGGTATTTTGATGGGTTTTGCACTAAATTTATAGATAACTTTGGGATCTATTTTTCTTAGTAGCCTTAACACCCCTCCAACAAAACTCTGCTCAAAACTTTTATTAATTAGGCTGCCAAATTATTTTGTAATACCATTCTTTGTTTCAGAAGGGCTTTTTTTTTTTTAGATTTTATTTATTTATTTGAAAGAGTGAGTGAGCAAGAGAGCAGGAGCAGGGGGATGAGCAGAGGGAGAGGGAGAAGCAGACTCTCGGCTGAGCAGGGAGCCCGATGCGGGGGCTCGATCCCAGGACTCTGGGATCATGACCTGAGCTGAAGGCAGGCGCTTAACCAAATGAGCCACTCAGGTGCCCTTTAAAAAATTTTTTTATTATTATTAATTTAATATTTTATTTATTCATTTGAGAGAGAGAGCACAAGCAGGGTGAGGGGTAGAGGGAGAGGGAGACTCCCAGCTGAGTGGGGATCCAAACTCGGGGCTGGATCTCAGGACCTGGAGATCACGACCCAAGCCAAAGGCAGACGCTTAACCATCTGAACCACCCAGGCGCCCCCAGAAAGGCCTTAAGAACTCATTGAGATCTTAGTAGAAGATGGGGTTATTTGAACTCAACGACAGAAAAGGTTACTGTGCCTCCTAAAAGGACCTTTCTAACGAGGCTGTAATTTCCTACAACTGTTTTTGTCCCTAGATGTAGAAAACCAAATTACTCAGCAGAGCTACCAACACATTTAGTATTTGTGGGTCCTCCTCAGAGCTAAGGGTTAGGCAATCTTGGCTGGCGTTGGAATCAATAAACAAAATAGAAGCTAGTCTCTTATGAAAATTCATTTAGAGGATTTTAAATATGAGCTAAGTTATTTGTGAGTTATGTTAGTCATCAGTGGCTGGAAAATTTTAATAATGCAGAAAAGAAAAAGGAAAAAAAGGCCCATGGTGGAAAAAAATAGGATAGGAAAAACATTTCTGGATAGAACTGCCTTCACTCACTGATGGACCGATAAAGCCAAAGGGCAAATCTAAGACTGTAGCTTTTACAGTGAATTTTTAACTGTATTTACTTGAGATACCTATATATTCTTAAGAAGGCAGGGCCCTGCACAGGGTAAAGCACAAAAGATCAGCAGGTCACTGGGTAAGTTTTGCCCACTTCATCATTAACATCAGATCCAGCCCTATGCTTCATATTAAATTCGAAGGGAAAACATCCTCTTGCAAATCAGAAACACAGGGTACAGATTTAAGGTGGCTTGTTTTCACTAGGAGGAACTGTGGGATGAGTGGGATGTGTAGATTTTCCACTCAGGAGTAAAGTGAGCTAGTTAATTAGCAATTAGAAGCTGCTGTAGGACTGAGAATGTGACACAGAAGCTAGGGGGATGTAGGCAGATAATGGCAGAAAAGCTTAATTATAGTCCTGGCCAGATAGTCAAAGAGATGAAGACCTGCAGGGGTCTCCAGTATTCTTTTGATATTTTGAAATGGCAGGCAAGGGCAGAGTTCATAGAAGAGTTATAAGATAAATGGATTCCTGAGGACTGGTTCTGAAAATGAATGCAAAATTTAACCATTATAGGAAAAAATATATTGGTGTAGTTGGTGATAAGGATATGTGCAAAGATTGTTTGATGAATTGGATCTGAATTTTGACAAAGGCCAAACCTTTAATTTAAATACCAATCTGAGAGGTATAGGATTAAAGGAAGGTTGAGATTTCTCTTTGATAACCAGACACCAAAAAAAAAAAAAAAGAGAGAGAATGAAAATGGGACATGAGCAGCAGAAAGAACAACTAATATCAAACCCAGAAAAGAACAATAATGTTGGAGCTTCACAGTCTGCATTCAGTAAGGAAAAGGAGGAATTAAATAAGGAAAACCTTTTATGTGTAACAAATCCCTTGGGAGCTCAATGGAATTACAGACTTC